CTCTGCCATTCAAATGCTTGAGACATGATACCATTCATTATGGACTTCTTTCATAAGTGTCTCATGGCAGAAGTGGAGATACAGCCTCCTTTGCAGAATCATGAATTGTAGTATTAGCTAATTTTAGACTTTATAGTGTTTAATAGGGAAAATGATTTTTTAACAGCAGATTTTACAAATTTGGGGGTTCACAAAGATCTTTTTATATGTCCCTTGCAAATTTCAAGAGTCTCCTGGATCTGGACATTATGTTTATAAGTCTATCTTAATGGCTCAACCTACATTGTCCAGTACTGTACTAATAACCACATGTGGCCATTGAGCACTTAATGTGGCAAGTCTCAATTGAGATGTACTGTAAGTATAAAATACACACTAGATTTCAGATGGTACAAAAACACGGATGCAAAATATATCAGTAAATTACTTATTGATTATATGTTGAAATAATATTTTAGATATATTGAGTTGAATAAAATACATTATTTAAAACTTTTTTACTGTTTCTTTTTACTTTTTTTTATTTTTAATGTTTATTTATATTTGAGAGACAGAATATGAGCAGGGGAGGGGCAGAGAGAGAGACACAGAATCCAAAGCAGGCTCCAAGCTCTGAGCTGTCAGCACAGAGCCCAACGTGGGGCTTGAACTCACAAACTGCAAGATCGTGACCTGAGCCGAAGTCAAGACGCTTAACCCACTGAGCCATCCAGGCACCCCTGTTTCTTTTTACTTTTTAACATGGCTATTCAATCATTTAAAATTACATATGTAGCTTATAGTGTATTTCTACTGGACAGAGCTGATCTAGACTGTGGGTTCCTTGAGGCTAGGACAGTGCCTGGTGCATATAATTAGATGTGTGGTGCATGTTAGATAAACCAAACTGTTGAACTGAAATGAAGGAATGGATGAGAATTATAATGATTTTTTAAAGTAGTGATTTTGACGCTGTGAATTTAGAAAGTGGTAGGGCAAGATGAGGTGAATTTTGTGCGGAAATCTTAAAATGTGTGTTAATTGTCCGTGGTGTATGGGGCTGGAGATGGGAGTCCTGACTACAGCTGCCTTCTCATGAGACATTTAGATATGCCCTGTAGAGTTGATCTGATTTTCCCACCCATGATTTCTTTGCTGTAGTACTATATTATAATTCAGCAGGTTAAGATCCATTTCCAGAAAGGGTTTTTCCTGTATGCCATTTAGCTGTGGTATTCAGACTTAATGTGCTTCATAATCACTTGCAAAGCCTGTTACAAATGCAGATTCCCAGACTGCCCAGAGATTTTGGATCATTAGGTAAAGGAATGAGGCCTAGGAATCTGCCTGTTAACACCCCAGAAGATTCCAGTGAACGTGGCCTATAAACAGTACCTTGAGGAACACTGGCATCATAATCCAGAAATAGCTTAAAAGTCCAAGTAGAAGGGGCAGTGTGCTCAGTGATTTTTTTTAAAGTTTTTATTTTTAAGTAATCTCCACACCCAACATGGAGTTCAAAGTTACAACCGGAGATCAAAAGTTGCGTGCTCCACCAACTGAGCCAGCCAGGCATCCCTTTTGCTCAGTGATTTTTATTATCTATTATTACATGACAAAGAAATTAAATTGTTAAATACTTTAATAATCGAAAATGAAAACATTTTAGCAAAGGAAACAATCAACAGTGAAAAGGCAACCTACCGAAAAGGAGAAAGTATTTGCAAACTGTAAAGGGTTAATATTAAGAATATATAAAGGATTCCTACAATGCAATAACATAATTGTCCAATTGAAAAACTGGCAAAGGACTTGAATAGACATTTGTCTAAAGAAGATATGCAAATGGATAGTAAGCATTGAAAAGAGGCTCAACATCACTAGTGATCAGGGAAATGTAAATCAAAATCACAGTGAGATACCACCCCACATCCATTAGGGTGACTCCTACCACAAGAAAGAAAGGAAGAAAGAAAGAAAAGAAAGAGAAAGAAAGAAGAAAGAAAGAAAGAGGAAGGAAGAAAGAAAGAAAAACAAGAAAGAAAGGAAGGAAGAAAAAGAAAGAAAAGGTAAACAACAGGTGTTGGGGAGGATATGGAGAAACTGAAAACCTTGGAGTACTGTTGGTAGGATTTTACAATGGTGCAGTCACTGTGGAAAAAAGTATGGAGTTTCCTCAAAAATCAAAAATAGAACTACAATATGAGGGGTGCCTGGGTGGCTCAGTCAGGTAAGCGTCTGACTTCACCTCAGGTCATGATCACGCGGTTTGTGAGTTGGAGCCCCACATCAGGCTCTCGGCTCTCAGCACAGAGCCCTGCATCAGGCTGTCTACTGTTGGCACAGAGCCTGCTCAGATCCTCTGTCCCCCTGTCTCTCTGCCCCTCCCCCTCTCCTGTGCATGTGTGCAAAACTTTCTGTCAAAAATAAAACATTAAAAAAAAAAAAAGAACTACCATACAATCTATCAGTCCCATTTCTGGATATGTATATATAAAAAACCTGGATATTTGGACACCCTTGTTCATTGCAGTATTATTCATAGCCAAAATCTGGAAGCAACCTAAATGTCCATCAGTGGATGGATGGGTAAAGAAATAAGCTTTGTACATACAATGGAATATTATTCCACCTTTAAAAAGAAGGAAAACCTGTCATAGGTTACAACATGGATGAACCTTGACACCCTTATGCTAAGTAAAATAAACCAGTCACAAAAATGACATACTGCATGATTTCATTTATATGATGTGTCTAAGATAGTGAAACTCATAGAAACAGGAAGAATGGTGGTTGCCAGTGTTGGGGGGGGCAGTGGAGGAAATGAGGAATGGTTCAATGGGTATAGAGTTTCAGTCATGCAAGATGAAAAAGTTCTGGAGATCTGTTATATAACAATATACATATAGTTAACAATAATGCACATTAAAAAATTGTTAAGAGGATAAATTTTGTTTTTTTACCACAATTAAAAATAATTAAGTGTTAATTAAAAATGAAAAAGTATCAACTGACCTAATAGTTCATGGTGAAATTGGACTCAAGGAAAGACTAGAATTTTGTTTCCTTGAACAGTACCTTTTCATGAGAAATTTTGTTGGAAGCTTAAAGCTAAATAAAGTAAATGCATACTTGCAGGGAAGCTGTGTGGGTGTTAAGACTAGAAGTGAGTGGCCTTTCCATGATTTACTGAGTAGAGGGCAAAGCTTACTCATCATGAATGTCATTCCCAAAGCATCTTGTCCAAAAACTTGGATGCCCTCCAGGAGGAAAAGACATGCTGATTATTGGATGCTGTCATTTCAGAGACATCCAGACACTCCAGCAAAATGTCTTCCTTCCTCTCTCCTGTCCCTACACCTGAAGCCTGGAATTTTAACACTTTCATTTTAGTTTCCTTAAAACATTAAAAAAAATTAATCATTGAGGGGCATTGATTGCCAGGACCCTTTCTGATGCAGAGGGAGAACAGGTGGGTTGATTTTGTGGAGTAGCCAGAAGCACTCCTGTGCTGAGCATTCACTCTGGCAGCCAGCATTCTGTGTCTGGACAGAGGCCATTCCTTTAGGTAACAATCTCTCCAGTCTTTCCAGAAACTGGTAGGCAAATGTGGTTGGGTTGGGTTGGTTTGCTCTGCCCCTGAGGATGGCCATTCCTGAGTAGGGCAAAGAAAGTAGGGGACAAAAACTAGAGTTACTTCCATATTTACTAATGAGATGAAAATACAATGTTAGGACAGTAAGAACTAAAATAGTCACATTTTCCTCCTTTCTACCCTTTCTTGGTATCTAATGTTAGCCTTTTGTGGGTTTGTGTGTGTGTGTGTGTGTGTGGTGTTGTTGTTGTTGTTGTTTTGTTTTCAATGTGTTGGCTCATTTTTTGGAAACATTGATTATGAAATATTTTGTTTTCTTTCCTGGCTACCTAAGGACTCTATTTCAAATGAAAATTAAAAATAAAAAATTGACAGCTATTTCCCAGGGCATGGGAGAGAGATCAGGCAAAGAATTACCTGTGGCTAGGCCAATACCCTCATACACTGGAGGGGTTGTGATTAATTCCCCAATTTCCTTCATCTTCCCTGTGATGGGGAACCCTGGCAAGTTCAGGACCCTATGCCAGAGCCCACATTCCAAGGGCTACTTAGGCTAAGGGTCAGTCCCTGGGAGGCGACAGAGTCAGGCAGCAGCATAGCCAAAGGCCAACCACAAGATCAAGTCTTAAGCACCAAGGACCTACTTTTCTTCTTTCCTGTGACCCAGAACAGATTAAGAAGCACCAGGGAGTCTGGACCCTCACAACTCTCCCCACCAAACTCTACAGTTAACACATGATCCTTTGTATTTTCTGCCTTCCAATTCTCTTGGGTAGATGGGTGGGTGGGTGGGGTTTCATGGTTTGGGGTTTCTCGTGCTAATCTTCTCTTTATTGTCCCAATTTTGGTGTATATGCTGCCAAAGTGAGCACATTTATGAAATATTTCTAATCTATAAAGAGACACATAGATGCAATCTATTCACCATCAGTCTTAACAAAGAGAACACTGTGAGTACAGTTGAAGCTCCTATGTACCCCTCTTGAATAATATCCCCCACCCACTTCTGCAGTACTAAATGCCATCTGGAATTTAGTGTTTATCATTAGCCATTTTTTGTACCTTTACTATATAATATTTGTATACTTCAGTTATTTTGTATTTTGTGGTCTCATACTTTATATAGTCGTTTGCAACCTGCTTTTCTCATGCAATCTGCCTTTTTGCTGCTTACACTTCATCTGGGATATTTCTTCCAGCGTTAAACTATTCTCAACACCAGTGTACAGTGTTATTGAGTAATAGTGTTTGGCCCCTAAAATACAATTATAAATGGTTTAGGATTGGAAAATTTTATGTGTGTCAGATTAACATATAATTATAGTGTTAACTGTTAAACATTTGTTTTATTTCAGGTTATAATATAACTTATCCTCTCATGCTTTTTCCCTGCCCCTTCTCCCCAAATCATCAACAGTAGAAAAAAGAAGAAGAAGAAAACATGTCAGGACACAAATGGTAAGTAATTTTGTTGTCTTTTCTGAATTGGGAGAGACTAATGAAAGAAGAAAGCACATTGTATATGCTCAGTAAATCTGTGTTGCATAGAAAAATCATGATTTAGGGGCGCCTGGGTGGCTCAGTTGGTTGAGCATCTGACTCTTTTTTTCAACTTTTTTTTTTTTTTTTTAATTTATTTTGGGGACAGAGAGAGACAGAGCATGAACGGGGAAGGGGCAGAGAGAGAGGGAGACACAGAATCAGAAATAGGCTCCAGGCTCTGAGCCATCAGCCCAGAGCCCGACGCGGGGCTCGAACTCACGGACCGCGAGATCGTGACCTGGTTGAAGTCGGACGCTTAACCAACTGCGCCACCCAGGCGCCCCTCCATATTTATTTAGAAAAGATATTTAAACTTGACTAAACTCCATATTGGATAACGGCTAACATTATTTACTGCTAATGTGACTCTTGATTTTTCTTTCTCTTTTTCTTTTTCTTTTTCTTTTTATACAGATTCCTTTCTATCTACCTATTTACTTATATTTTTTTAGTTTTTGTTCTTTGAGAGAGAGTGAGCAGGGGAGAAGGACAGAGGGAGAGAGAGAGAATCTTAAGTAGGCTCCATGCTCAGCGTGGAGCCTGATTTAGGGCTTGATCCCACAACCGTGGAATCCTGACCTGAGCCAAAATCAAGAGTCAGATGCTCAGGGGCGCCTGGGTGGCGCAGTCGGTTAAGCGTCCGACTTCAGCCAGGTCACGATCTCGCGGTCCGTGAGTTCGAGCCCCGCGTCGGGCTCTGGGCTGATGGCTCAGAGCCTGGAGCCTGTTTCCGATTCTGTGTCTCCCTCTCTCTCTGCCCCTCCTCTGTTCATGCTCTGTCTCTCTCTGTCCCAAAAAATAAATAAACGTTGAAAAAAAAAATTTAAAAAAATAAATAAATAAATAAATAAATATGGAAACCAAATAACTAAAAATATTGTAAGTTCTTATGTAATGTATATTCTCTTAAGAAATTAATTTACATATAACTTTTCTTTTGAGAACCTAATGACTTTTCTTACTACCAGTTTTTCAAATGTAATAAGTTGATACTTTTTTTAGCACTATTTTATTTATAGGTTATTAGTGTTATCAGGAAACTTGATATAGGGCAGCTATAAAATAATGAGTGAACACAAACCCAGACTCATTAATTTATAGTCATGACTTCAACCTTCATGAACACTTAGGAGGTAAATATGGTTAGAAGATGATGATGCTGAGTCAAATGTGGTAATCATGGCAATGTTAGCACTGTCATTTACATGCCTATAACACATCTTAGCAGCATATTAAACGTCTTAGAAATTCCAGATCTGCTACAAGCAGTGTTTCTGAACCATTCTGAACTCATGGCCGACCAGGCAGATCTTTGTCATGTTTTATCTCTTGAATTTGTAGCATGAAAAATTGTGATGTGTATTTTCATGTTTCAAATGTACAATTAATTATAAATATGCTTTTAATTTTTTAATTTTATTATTATTTTTTAGGAATATACTTTTTAATCCTTCCTGTCTCAGTAAAGAAGTAATCAGGCCCAAGGCCTCTGTAGTATCAAATGTCAAACCTTAAAAGAATTTTTGCATGTCTTAAAATGTAACAAGTTTTAAAGGATAATTAATAAATGGCTAAGGGATTTAGTTTCCCTGAGTATCACCATTTGCCAGCTTTGTAACCAAGAGTTGTCAGACTGTTTTCTTAATTGTTCCATCTTGCTTCGTTAAGACAAAGGGGTGGCTCCATCCTGTGACCCTCATACTGGCTGTCATACCCTGGCAGCAGACTAGGGAAGTAGGTAGTCATGCACCTAAGAGAGACAGGAGAGCCCTAAGAAGTGGGCACTTCCCCAAAGTCTTTTTCCCTCTAACTCTGCCACCGCATTGCTTGCTGCTGAAATGCAGTGGCTCCAGAAAACATTGAAATGAGCCCTGGCCTGGATTTTAATCCTGTGTGACTTTGGGCAGAATTCGTAAGCTTTTGAAACCTAAGATACCTCATTTGTTAAATGACAGAGGTGAGAGGGGTGTTCATTAGATCTCTGAAGTCCCTTTGTCTTTGTCTTTTTTTCAAAATGGAAATTTTTTTTAATCCATGACCTTTCACAATAAATAAATAAGTACATAAGTAAGTAAGTAAATAAAAGGTACAATACAAAGAAGTCCACCCTATTCCCCACTCCTAAAAATTCTGTTTCCCCAAAATAGTTTTGGAGGGTATATCCTTCCAGTCTTTTAATGTTTTGTTTTTTTTTTTTTTTTAATGTTTAGTTTTGAGAGAGAGAAAGAGACAGAGTGCGAGCCAGGGAGGAGCAGAGAGAGAGGGAGACACCGAATCTGAAGCAGGCTCCAGGCTCTAAGCTGTCAGCACAGAGCCTGACGCGGGGCTCGAAGTCACAGACTGTGAGATCATTACCTGAACCAAAGTCAGATGCTTAACTGACTGAGCCACCCGGTACCCCCTTCCAATCTTTTAAAGCACATATTTATAGAGATAGATTTTCTCTTTTACATAAAAGTTATATACTTTTCCACTTGTTTTCTCTGATGTGAGCTCATAGTAAAACAATTTTTAATTCAAGTATAGTTGACATACAGTGTTCATTAGTTTCAGGTGTAGAGCATAGTGGTTCAACAAGTCTGTACATATAAAAAGAAACTTTTAAATAAGGCAGAAACCATGAAGGTCCCCCAAATCTAATGATAACCTTTGTAAAGAAGTTATCTGAAACCCCTTTTGACTTTTTAAGAATAAATTTGTGTGTGGAAAATTGTAAATGCCATCTGGAAGGAGAGTAGAAATCACCAAGTTTCAAGGTATAGGTATTTTTTATGTAGTAATGTAAAGCAACTTATGCTTTAGGACTCAGGTCTGGCACTTTTGGAGTAGTGATAGTATGCAGTGGAAAAAGGTACATGTCTGCAGAGAGGAGAAACAAGGGATTCTGTGTGGACCTGTGCACTAGGAACTCTAGACAGGAGGAGGGTGTAGACAACATAGGGAGATATAGAACACTATGGCAACATTTCTGTCAATATTTGAGGTGCTCTGGTCTTTTACAGAATTTGATTTCATCTCAATTCTTTTTCTAATTTCTTTTTTACATATACTGTGTCCTTCCTGAAAGAATTTTTTTTTTCCTATCTGTATTTTAAACATTTATGTTTAAGAATTTAAAGTTTTAATATCAGGGGCACCTGGTTGGCTCAGTCAGTTAAGCATCCAACTTCGGCTCAGGTCATGATCTCACGGCTCATGAGTTTGAGCCCCACGTTGGGCTTTGTGCTCACAGCTCAGAGCCTGCTTCAGATTCTGTGTCTCTGTCACTCTCTCTGCCCCTTCTCTGCTCTCTCTCTCTCTTTCTCTCTCTGTCTTTCTCAAAGATAAGTAAACATTTAAAAAAATTTAAATTTTTAGTATCAGAAATCGGTAAAGATTTTTTTAATTGTTTTTTGTTTTTTTAACTTCATTTCACTGTGGTAAGACTACTTAACATGAGATGTGCCCTTTTAACAACTTTTTAAGTGTACAATACAGTTAAGTATAGGTACAGTGTTGTACAGCAAGACATCTAGAATTTACTCATCTTGCATAATTGAAACCTTGCACCCCTTCAGTAATGGTTTCGTATTTCCTTCTCACCCCATCCAGCCTCTTGGTAACCACTGTTTTCCTTTCTGATTCTATGAGTTTGACTGTTTTAGGTACCTCTAGGACACATTTTAAATGTGCTATTTTTCAACCCCTTATCTCTACTTTTCTGCCATCACTTCACTGTCGGCTCTAATGCTAGAGTGGAGAGAACATTGGTGTCTGGCCTTATCTCTATAACTCCCTGGGCTGCTTGAACCAGGCACCCTGCCTAGTTTGGCCTTACTTTCTCCACTTGGAAAAGGAGTATGTCCAACCTGCTGGTAGCTAAACTCTTCAAGGTTTAGCTTCTCAATTTCCTGCAAAAGCCCCTTGATTTCCTCACTAACTTTTAAGGTTTCACAGTAAGAGTTGGTTGACTTTTTTGGTGTAATAACCACATAAGAAAGTATCTGTATGTTTGTTAATGTTATTATATAATGGTTAGATAGATTTGTTCACACTAAAATAGCTTAATATTTATGAAAGTCGTGAATAAGATACCTCTTTAAATGTTTTTTTAGCAGTTATCCCTGGGACTTACAGGATCGATATACTCAAGATAAGTCTGTAGTAAATAAGATGCAGCAGAAGTATTGGGAAACGAAGCAAGCCTTTATTAAAGCCACAGGGAAGAAAGAAGATGAGCATGTTGTTGCCTCTGATGCAGACCTGGATGCCAAGCTAGAGGTGAGCTGGTCACCTGGGCAAGCCTAGGTGAGCTTTGTATCTGAAAACATATTGCAAACTAGTTCTTGAGGAAAATCTAGGATGAGGGAAATTCAATTCCAGAATATATATATAGTTTTTTATTTGAGAGAAAGAGAAAGAATCTTAAGGAGGCTGTAGGCTCCACACTCAGCATGGAGCCCAACGTAGGACTCGATCCCACGACCCTGGAATCGTGACCTGAGCTAAAATCAAGAATCGGGTGCTCACCCAACTGAGCCACCCAGGTACCCTAATCCCAGCATATTTTTTAAAAACCTACAAATTCTTGTGTAACTGCTAGTATGCTTCAGTTAATTTGTTTTTCAAGTTTGTGGCTGGATTGCATGGCAAGTGGTAAATTCTCAATAAATGCTTGTTGAAAAAAGTTAATGGAATCAGAAACCCACTGCACATGGTATTACACTAGGGTCAGGCAAATACTTACGTTCTAAAAAAGGGAAAAGATGATAGCACAAGATCCTAGTAGAGTCTAATAAAATTCTTGAATGAATTAACTAAGCAGATATTTAGTTAGATTAGTTAAAAATACAGTACGTTGAATTCCTATCTGGTTGATTCCCAAATACTAATATAACTGGTAGAAGGCCCACTAACTCCCTATCTTGCTAGACATTCTGCCAATAGTTTAGATTAAAATTTAAAAAGCATACTTATCACTTCTGTGAGGAACAGTACACGACCTGATAAGAATTCAAAATGGTCTCTAAATTTAACATCAAAGCTAGGGAGTGCCTGGGGTCTCAATTCGTTGAACATCCAACTCTTGATTTCTGCTCGGGTCATGATCCCAGGGTCATGGGATCGACCCCCGCTTTGGGCTCCACACACAGTGGGAGCTTAAGCTCTGCTTGAGATCCTCTCTCTCCCTCTCTCTTCCTTTCCCTTTGCCCCTCTCCCTCACCCCCTCTCTCAACAAAGAAACAAACAAACAAACAAGCATATAAGCTAAAGTTAATGAACTGCACATTTAACAGGACTAGAGTAAAAAGCCCAGGATTTCAAAAAGTTATACTGGAACAGAGAGGCTTAAGGGGACCTATATTAGTTCTTGATTGTATAGAAAGGTCTGTCATGTGGGAGAAGGATAATTCATTCTGTGCCTCTGAGGGGAGAACCAGACCCAGGGCCCCTGTTCATAGTATGTATCTTTCATGAAAATATCCCAAATGTTTATGCATTTGTCTGCCTTACTTCCACTAACAGATCAGATTCCATGTCAGCCTTATTCACCATAGTATCCTCAGCCAGACACACTATACACATTCAGTAAATACTAACTGAATCAGTGTGCGTGTTAATGCAATAAATATCAGTTCCCAGCCCTTTCCCCTGTCTCTGGAATTGTTCAAATTGAAGCTAGGTTTGATGGGAATGTTCTAATGGAGATTGCTAATAGTGGAGAAAAGTAGAACCAGGAGGCATCTGTTCTGATTTTAGTATTCTGCATATAATTGAAATGATTATAAATTGCATATGTTTTTCACGTCTTGTACCTTTATTATTTTTCTTTTTAACAACCCAGTAAATACAAGTATTATTCAAAAAGGAATTCAGTATGTAATTATTAGTTCATTAAACACAATATGGTAATTTTATTTTTATGCTTATTCGCCCCTGGCAGTATTTTTGCTGAACCAACTGTACTTAAATCAAAATAGCTGCTGTCCGAGGCACATAACATCCACAGTACTTAGCTGAGACTAATAATGTTACACAACAGAGGTGTTTGTTGCAAAAATGTTCAAACTAGTATTGATGTTTGTAGAGAGCATGGATTCCATCAATAAAACATATGTAAATGATGTGGAAACCATTTTGATGTGTTCTTACCCTAAGTTATCCACAGAACACTAGTTTATGAAACAAGAACTTTTATTCTGCCAGCATAAGAAAAGTTTATTGCCAAGTTATAATAATGGTCAGATTCTACTATAATCTGTTGGGAAGTTAATATACATAGAAATGTTGCACTAAGTTTAAATATGTGTCAAGAATTAGTTGTTAATGAAATATTTTTTTTTTCAATGTTTATTTTTGGGACAGAGAGAGACAGAGCATGAACGGGGGAGGGGCAGAGAGAGAGAGGGAGACACAGAATCGGAAACAGGCTCCAGGCTCTGGGCCATCAGCCCAGAGCCTGACGCGGGGCTCGAACTCCCGGACCGCGAGATCGTGACCTGGCTGAAGTCGGACGCTTAACCGACTGCGCCACCCAGGCACCCTGAAATATTGTCTCAAAAACAGCTCTTAAGAACAGACAAAAGTAACCTGTGGTGGCAGGTCTTTTAGTGAGTGCCACAACATAGTAGATGGTCTTTGGTTTCTTAGTTTGGATGTGGTGAGAAGAGTGTAGGCCTGCAGAACTGGACATTCCAGAGGTGCGCATTTTATTGCACTTATTTTTTTTAAGTTTATTTATTTTGGAAGAAGTGAGCAAGCGAGGGCATGACTGGGGGAGGGGCAGAGAGACAGGGAGAAAGAGAACCCCAAGCAGGCTCCATGCTGTCAGCACAGAGCCTGACGTGGGGCCCCATCTCATGAACCATGAGGTCCGTGACCTGAGCCAAAATCGAGTCACTCAACTGACTGAGCCATCCAGGTGCCCCAGTTGCATTTAATTTACACCTCAGTGTTTTAAAAAAAATGAACAGTGACATCAGAACATACTTTTTGAACTTCTTGGTCCTGTATTCAGGAATTACTATGTGTTGGTGGTTTGTGACCCAGAATCCTGATATCAAGCATTTGTTAAGGAAGAGATTCAGACTGCTGATTCTGTTTTCTTTTATGGTAAAGGTTTTTCTTTTCCCTCTCGCTCTTTTCTAAATAGAGGATACAGTGTAATGAAATAAGATATAGCAAAATTTATAATCTTCATGACCAGGTTTTATCATGTTAAGCATTTCAGGAATGGTTTTTAATTTTTTAAGTATATATGCATGCATCTCTTTTTATTAGATAATTGGTCATGTTTATTATGACACACATCCTCTGTTTTAACTCAAACAGTGAAGTACTTCATAATACCAACACATAACTATTACATCACCATGGCCAATAAGATCAAAGAGAGGGGGAAAAGTTTTGCTCTGGCTCATTTAGGTGGCTCTTCAGAGACAGAATATTTGCTAGGTTTTCCAACTGATACCAGCCCTGGTCTCTGAGTTGGTAAACAGAGGGTAGAGACAGTGTGAAGTATCTGTTTGATTTTCTCTTGAGCTTGTTTGGGTTTCTGAAGCAAAGACCAGGACCACTGTTGGTTAAAATCTAGTTAGATTCTTCTCAGTATCACCCACCTGCTTTTCCATTAACTTCCTCTGATACGGCCTTGGCATTACATTAGATTTCAAATTATCTGTATATCTTATGAAATCATTGGGAAAATGAATGATCAGGGCTACTAGCTAAACTCCGTTTTACCAGATGTCTTCTAAATTAAATATTCAGCTGGTTGATTTTTGTTGGCTTTTTATAGAGTTGTTTAAGCATGCCATAAAATACATTAGGATCACAAAATAAGCTAATGTTGTGTTTTAAATATGATGCTTAATTGAGGGATCCACATTTGAAAAAAACACATCAAGTGGGAGAAGAAATAAATTAACTTATGAATGAATATTGGGTCTCTGGTTTACTGAGTCCTCTAATTGGTGCCTTCGTTTAGGATTTCTGTTTTTCAGCTATTATTTCAGTAGTCTGGAGGAAATTATTGTTCTAGAGATCTTAATTAAGATCACAAAGATGATGGATTCCAGTAAATATAGAATAATATGAGCATATTTTTAAAGACTCTGGTCACAGTTCCTGCATAGTTTACCACATAACACCAAGCATACTTAGGCTTGCAATCTTATGTTTAGTGAGCAAATCAAACACTATAGTTATGTTCAGTATAATAATTTTTATTTCACTGCTGTCTGGTTTTTTTTTTTAACATTTTGTTTGTGTTTTTATTATAGCTGTTTCACTCGATTCAGAGAACCTGTTTGGACTTATCTAAAGCAATTGTACTCTATCAAAAGAGAATATGTTGTAAGTATGCCCTAAGTATACCTATTGATCAGATAAACAGTGAGAAATAGGATATTTTGCCTTAATACATCATTTCATATGTTTAGGAAGTAAGACAAGGAAATTACTATTGAGGAGTGCTGTCTTTGGTCTTTAATTGGTGGGAAGGAGGGTCTCTAATAATTTTATCAGAAATTCTTTACATAGGTTGTATATCATTCAATGCAAATAACTAGAACAAGAACTTTATATTGGGTCTCCCATGGGTAAGTACATATCATTTATTTTCCTAATTATAAAAAAGTTTTCTCAGTTTTATGTTTGGGTTTTAAAAAAAAATTGGTGTTGTTTTTATTTGATTGCCCTGGCTCTCTTATATCCAGGTTTGTTCCTCTTAAAATGGAGAGAGAAAGCACATATAGGTAATTCCTTGACTATATTTTGACAATAGCGCTTCTTCATGAGCATTTTTTATGTTGGATATTGGATTATTGGGAAATAGGATTCTGCCTTAAAGTTATTACTCAGAGTTATCTCTGAAATGCTAAATATCAAGTTATGTGTTAATATGTTTTAAAATGTCCATTCGTAGATGATTTAATAGTATAATTTCTATATTTCTGAGACTAGAACATGGGAAGCTTTTCTGTTTCTGACTGCTGCTAGACCTCTTTCCAATAATCACAAAGTAACAATTGATAATTTTCCTTCATTAGTCTTTAATTAAGACTCTTTGGGGGAAAGTACAAAATCCTAGGACTTAGAGAAAGAATTTGATAAATTTTCTATGTTACTGTTTACTAAGTTAAGACTTCTGAGCTATAGCTTCATAGTCTTGAGTTCTGAGTAAATCAAGACACAGGACATACATCCCCCACCGTTTCTCTATCCCACATCCAGTTAGTCTTAAATGCTGGTTCATTTTGTTGCCTGAATAGAATTCACTCTCCTTCCTCTCTCCATCTTAGTCTCCATCCTCTCACTATCTTAGTTCATGCCACCACCGTCTATCACTGTCCTACTTGATTTGCTTCAGCTTCCTAAATGATCTCCTTGCCCTCTCCAGCCCATTGTCTATACCACAGTCAAAGAGCTCCCAATGGTCTAAGCTGGGACAATTTGAATAGCAAAATAAATAACAGTAGTTCTGGATTATAACCAATAAAGTAAAGTAAAGTAAATATCCATTAAATCAGTGTGGATATAGACAAACAGGGGAGAAGAAACAGCTCTTCCTTATAAAATAATTTCAGTTAATAAATACAGAAGGAATGAGGGAACCACAAAATCATCATTAGGCAAATACCACAGTAAGAATTGTGGCAGGCAACGTTCACTGAAAGGTGGCACAATTAATGGGCGAAAGTTTGAGGAGAAACTGGTTATTTTCACAGTGTCATGTATTTCCTTCCAAGATTTTTAATAATTACAAAAGAAAGAAATCATAATTTTACAGTGGAGAAACCCAGTAGACACCACCTGAATCAAGTGATCCAGATTGATACCAGTAGTGACAATGTGTTGTTAGTATCATGTAGCCCTGGTATCATGCACTAAGAAGGCCACTCCACCTGTGTGGTTTCCTTCCCGAAAATCTGTAACCCCAGTCTAATTGTGAGAAATAAGACAAATCCACGTTGAGAGACATTCTACAAAATATCTAACCAGTACTCTTAAAGGGCATGAAGGTCATGAAAGACAAGAAAGGCTGAGGAACTGTCACAGATTGAAGGAGATGGAATCTCGATAACTCAGTTCAAGGTCGGATCCTGGATTAGATCCTAGAAGAAAAAGGACATTCATGGGAAAACTAGTAAAATTCAAATAAAGTTGTGGTTTAGTTGATAGTACTCTACCAATGTTAATTTCCTAGTTTTGAAAATTGTACCATGATTATGTAAGATACTAATGTTAGGAGAAGCTGAAAAGGGTATACAGGAACTCTGTTCTATTTACAGTCTAAGCCTAAAATTCTTGCAAAATAAAAAGCTTTAAAAATGTACATTGAATCAAGATCCAGACTTCCATACCATAGTCTATGAATTCCTACATGATCTGGCCCAGCTCACCTCTCCAGCCACTTTTGCCCTTAGCCACCATGCTACCTGAGGCCTTTTACTCTCACTATTTCCTATGTCTGGAATGTTTCTGCCCTAATTATCTTAAGAGTGGCTCCTTCTTGGGTGGGGGGATGGGCTAAATGGGTAATGGGTACTAAGGAGGGCACTTGTTGGGATGAGCACTGGGTATAATATGTAGGTGATGAATCATTAAATTCTGCTCCTGAAACCATAATTACACTATGTGTTAACTAACTTGGATTTAAAAAAAAAAAAAAAAAAAGAGTGGACCCCTTCTTGCCATTCAGAGCCCAGCTTAGTGGTCACCTGCTCAGAGAGGCTTTTCCTGATCACCTAGCCCAAAGCAGCTTCTCTAACTCCCCTCTTCTTACTGCTCTGTCTGGTATTTTTCTTTTTGGGTTTTGTATTTGTGAGTACGTATTTTTTTTTATTTTTTGTCTCCTGCCACATGAACAAAAGCTCCATAAGTGCAGGGACCTTGTGTGTCTTGTCTGTCTCTCTATTCCCAGTGGCAAGAACAGTGCCTAGTATGTATTAGATCATCCATAAATCTGTGCTGAGTGAATTAATGCTGCCAATCTAATTGGTTTTAGTTCCCTTTTTAGGAAACATCTGAAAATCTAATCAGCAATTAAATATTAATAGGGTTTTTTTGTGTGTGTCTGAATTCTTAAGTCCTGGTTAAGTTAAACCTTGTAAGTGGAAACTGGCGAGTTATCTGATACCTGTGTTGCACCTGAATTTTAAAGCTCCCTAAATTAATTTCAGTATTTGAATTTTAAAATCAAAATTAAGAAATGGGCATCCCGGGGCGCCTGGGTGGCGCAGTCGGTTAAGCGTCCGACTTCAGCTCAGGTCACGATCTCACGGTCCGTGAGTTCGAGCCCCGCATCGGGCTCTGGGCTGATGGCTCAGAGCCTGGAGCCTGCTTCCGATTCTGTGTCTCCCTCTCTCTCTGCCCCTCCCCCGTTCATGCTCCGTCTCTCTCTGTCTCAAAAATAAATAAAACGTTAAAAAAAAATTTTGAAAAAAAAAAATGAAAAAAGAAAAAAAAAAGAAAAAAAAAGAAATGGGCATCCCTTCTTGGAAAATAATAGTCATCACTAAGTAATCCAAGCTGGAGTCTGATGAGGCTCAAACGTTTTCTGCCTCCCTCTGAACAACACTGCCAATTAATTAGAGTCCAGCTCTTGAAACCATTTCACACCCTAGATTTAGTCCTCAAGTGCATAAAATAACAAAAAGTAATTTTTCAAATGCTTCAACCTGCTGAGGTTTATTCAGGAAAGAGTACATTTCACCAACTGTGTAATTGTGTAGGTGCCATGAATGGTTTCTTCCTAGCCTTAAGCTAAATATGTTCATTTATATGTGACTTGAGACTGGCAAAAAAAAAAAAAAAAAGATGACAGTAGCCTCGTGCTATTATGAACAAAAATGTGAAGTTGCTCTCCGTAGGGACATATTCGTTGTGGAATCCAGTCCCGTATCAGTAAGTAGAGAGAAGGAATAGAAGGTAATATAAAACAACAAAACTTCTTATAATTATAGGGTTTTTTTTAAGCTACATAGAATCATTGCTAAGCATTTAAAATGAAACAAAGTGGGATAGGAAGTGGTGAGGAAAAATAAAGTGAAATAAAGTATATGAGGATAATAAGGCAAAAATTATAGTTAATTTAATTTTACGAGCACTTAATAGTACCCTGTATAAGACGTTATGCTCACCCTGGGGAGTGCATAGTTGGATGAGGTCCCTGTCCTGAGAAGGTTAGAGTGTCAAGATATAGAAGACATACACCCGACCCCAACAACCTAATACCAGAAGCCAAGAGGGCGCTGCTGTCACAGAGAAACAGGGATCAACTACTTCATAGGGAAGTAGTCTTTGAGCAGACTTTGACTCAGTGTGATTCTTGAGGGGCAGAGAGGAAGGAGGATAGTCATTTATTTCTCAGGAAGAATGGATTCCAGAAACGTCTCCCTCTGGAAAGTTTCATGTGAACTACAGTCACAGATTAATAAGGAAGCAGTAACAAGTGTAACCTTCACCTTTGGATTTGTGTTTCCTGGCTAATGCTCTCATTGGAGTGGTTGTGTCAGGAATGGGGTGCATTCTGAAGGAATTCTGGATTGTTTATGAAAATGGACAAGAATCCTAGTAGCATTCAAAAAACATTTTTAGAGACACATGATGTGTAAATGCATAAATAAGTAAATGTGAAATCAGAGTAGTGGCCAAAGTCAGTCCCTAGAAGGGCTATATTTTGAAAAGAAAACATTTAGGAAGCTCAGTGTCATTCTTTGCTCAGCTGTTGGTAAATGTGGATTTGGGACCAGTGGCTGTGTAACAGCCCACTATTCCATTGTTTGGATACACACTAGTTTATAAATCAGTCCCCAGGGTAGAGAAAGAAAGTGTTTTGCTGCTATAAATATTGATGTTTTGATTACTTTTCTGTCTGCAGCTTTGTGCCCATTTCACTAAATCCTTGGAAAGTGCTAACAGTAGAAGTGCAATGTCAAAAGATACATAGAATTCTGTGACATGTTATGTTTACTGTCAAATGAATCTGCAGAAGGCTGTACCAATAACTGTCTCACCAGCAGTGTCATCTGAGGTTGTCTTTAAAAATAAGGCCAGGATTAGACATGACCAATTCATGGTTCCAGCTCTGCATTTAAAAACCCCACTGAGACTTCAACCCGATTACCTGCCCACCCTTGATCCCCACTCCCACTTCCAACCAAAAACTCATGTCATGAATAAGGTATGGAATTGCTTTGCAATCAAGTAGAATGTACCTCAGAAAGCAGAGATCAAAAAGCCAGTGAGAGAGAATAAGCAGAGGAAACCGGCCCTATATTATAGGCAGCCACAAAAGATTCCCACAGTCATACTTGACAAACCCAACTTTCTTTATTTCAGCTCGAAGCGGCACATTATCGGCTCGCTTTTCAGTGCAGAGGTCATTTTCTGGTTCTGATTACAGGGCACCAAACCCACTGACAGATGTACTCAAGTGAATTTGATCTCTCCTTTTTCAAGTGGAGGGACAGCATGAAAGTTAAATGGTGGTGGGGGGAGGGCTTACCTTGTAGCTTGCCACGTGGATTTAATTTCATCCCGTCTTTCCCTCTAAAAGAGAGAGGAACTTGTGGTGGGTCTCTCCTCTCTGTAATAAAAATGCTCATTGTTCATGGCTCCTTTTGGTCTTTTCTTCATCAGTCTTGTCTCAAGAAGAAAACGAACTGGGAAAATTTCTCCGATCCCAAGGCTTCCAAGACAAAACCAGAGCAGGAAAGATGATGCAAGCAACGGGAAAGGCCCTCTGCTTTTCTTCCCAGCAAAGGTGTGTGGCCTTCACTGGGGCTCCATTGGGGGCTCAGCAGAGAATCTGGCGTCTACCCAGCCATGGAGGGGACTCTCCTGTTCTTTAGAAGTCTCTCCCCTGAGACTGAGGAGCTACTCTGTTCTCAGTTATTAGTCTGTATTTAACTCTCTGATTAAGATAACATATATGATTTTTTTTTACTCCCTATTAATCTTTAAGTTTTTCGTTTTTTTCCTATTTCTTCTGGTCTGTAGGGAGCGTTTCATTTGGCAATCACTCTGAGTGCTGCCTAGGCTTATGTTTGACCTTCAGCATTGCCCATAGCAGTCAGGCTGATCCCCTTCCAGCCTCTGATTAAAGCAGGAGCCTAATGAGACCAGGTGGAAGTGTTCCCTGTCTGCTCTCTGTAGGCCAATTAACTTTGGAGAGGTGGTGGTCATGATTCCCAGACCCATTCTGCTCAGACCCTGGACCAGCAACATCAGCAGTATCCCCTAGAAGCTTGTTAGAAATGCAGAATTTAGGCCCCATCTCACAACTGCTGAACCCAAATCTGCATTTTAACAAGATCTTCCCAGTTGATTTTGATGCACATTTAAGTTTGAGAAGCTCTGGTAGAGAGGAAATTGTGGCAGAGAAGTGACATTTTTTTAACACTCTCATGACTCATTTTATGGTTGGTGTAGAATAAGCAGGAGCCCCTGCATGCAGTTGCATTTAGTGCCTGAGGAAAGTGACACTCCTTCTCCATTCCTCTTCCTCCAGTCACTAATTAGCCTAAACATGTCACTAATATTAGGCAAGATTATACCTACATAAGACATGTAGGTAGTTTCCAAAAATTTTCAGGTTACAAACATTTTGCTTCCTCCAATTGTCCAAAAATTTCTTCTCTTAATTTCTTCTTCTTTCAGTCCCTGTGGGCCAAGAGCAGGCCATCAGCCTGTTACACAAGTTTCAATGAAAACCTGGAAAAGGTGGGGTGGAAGGAAGAGACCAACTGTGTCACTTTCCCGTGGTCCTACTCCTGGGCACGTTGGTTCTCCCTAATAACATCTGGACCCTGACTTTGTGGGCAGTGCCAACTTTCATAGTTGAATGAAGCTATGTCCAATAGTTCTGCACTTGTTTTCCAAGAAAAGTGTTTGCTTATAATATTCAGTTGTATCTTTTAATCAATCTTATTTATAATCATTTTTCCTTGTAAAAATACTACTGCAAAAATTTAAAAGAGTCAAGTCCAAAGGAGAAAATTAAAAAGCAATTAAAAATTTCCTAATGCAGATGACCCACATGTAATGCTTTGATAGGTATTTTCTATGCATATATACTTTCCCCAGCCTTACCAAGATAATTGGTTCTCAATAAATCTTTCAAAGAGTAAATTCTCGTGTGTTAAACATATACTTATCACTAATTTCAGTGGGAAAAATTATTATACATACCTGTATGCCAAGTTGTACATCAGCTTATGGGAAACAAAGCCAAATCCCTGGACACAATCACTGTAAGAGTTGCCATTACTGATCACATAATTACTTTATAACATGGCTATCCAGTTACACCGTTTCAGAGTTGTGTACCAAATTATCTCCCAGAACACACATGTGGTACCTTAAGTTTATATAATCTAACCTTTCGATATAAACAAAAACAGTAAAAGAAATCAACAGAAACAATGCAAAGAGTACTTAAAAGTATCACCACTATAAACTAGCAAACTGCACTATATCCATAATTTAATGCAGCTTGGACAACTTTAAAATTTGGAAGGTGACCTCCTGCAAGGTGGCCCTGGTTTCACAGCACTCAGCTGCTGACCGGGCACATGACATCCACACCAGTCCTCCTAAATATGAACAAAGTAGATGATGACATAAAACTCTGACAAAGTTGAATTTTCAGATCTCTAATGGATGTAATTTGAAATATGCTGGGATATATTTTTAATAGAAACAGCATCCCAGCAGACAGTTTTTTTGGAGTACTGCTTGCTGATCACTTAGCAAATTGATTTTTTGATCAAATAGCCATAACACCTTTTGTTCTCCATGTATACATTTTAAAAAACAACTATAGCATAGTGTTCCAGGGCATTCCACAATACGCTTAACCCGAGCCCTTCTGTTTATTACTTGGGTCACTTCCACATTTTCCTGCTAAATGATAAATGTCTTTGGAGTAGACCTTTATTTAGGCATTTTATTAATTATTCCCCTTGTGTAGGTTTTCATCAATGAAAATGTGTACCAGTCTTCCACTAAAGCTTGGTATTTCTGGTTATTGAGTTTTTCCTTGGTCTAAACTCAGTCCTTGGTACCACAAATGAACAGGTTTTCACCTTTCTAATCTTGTGCGAAGCAAGTTACAGAAAAAAATGGAAGTGATTTTGTATGCTTTTTTCTTTCCTTCAAGATCTTAACATCTATCATCATGTCATTACCTCTTCAAAGGTTTCTGTCTAACTTTACAACAGTCAAAGAAATTGAGAATATTTTATTCATAAGACTCTTTTTCAGCCAATTTAGGGAAATTGGCAAGGTCCAAGGGAAGAGAAGAAGGAGTCCAGAAATGAACAGGATTCTTAGGCGGACAGCTGAGGACTCTTTCTCTCTTTAAATAGAAGTCTCCAGTTTTATAAACCTTCACACCAGCATTTGTTTTACTGACTTATTTGATAGTCATTGCTACAACTGTGCATTCAATTTGATGAAAGATGGGTATTAAATTTAATCCAATGGTGATAAAGGACAAGCTTACTTTATGGCACCATAATATGTCTTTGAAAACCACCTGCAACACTTTGGTAGGATGATATGAGCAAACTACTTTTAGAGAAGTGCTGACTATTTAAAAACAATGCTTTACAGAAAAGAGGAAAACTGGAGAAAATAATAAAGGGTTTTTTTCTTAAACAGTTTATTGGCCCATCTGTAATCTTCCTGTGCTCTACACATGTGAGGCACTGCAGAAGCTGGTGGAGATGCCAAGCGCTGACTTCAGCTCACTAACACCACTGTTCCCTTCTGCTAAATAAGTTTGCATTTCATTTGAGATGTAATTCTTCATCTTATTTTTATGTTTTGAACCTGTGCCCTGCAAGTTCATGCAGACAACTGTATCTTAAGAGTGTAATTCATGTAATGTTACTCATCTTGGGTAGGAAGATGGGAGAAGCAGTATTTCCCTCCCCTGTAAAATATTGCATCCAAAGTTTGATATGCCTCAAACATTTTTTTTTACTTAATGAATGATGATATGTTACAACTAATAATTATTTTCTATCCACTTCATTGTATGGTATACATTCATTTATGGTAGAATCCTTAAGTTTTGTTTCTTTATAAGGCTCAATCCTATAACCTATCTGAATGTACCTAACACAGTAGATCCACAGTGCTTCTCTCCCTTCCTAGACCATTTAAAAATTCTTCTGTTCATGCTTTATTCTCTGTGACTGTGGGAGCAGAACTCCTAGCATTTGGAGAGTAATCCAACAATGACCTAGCCAGGGAGACCCTAGTCAAATACAAGTCCACCCCTTCTCAAAGAGCCAGGCTTCAGAGGAGCAGAAGCAGGGAATGCCAAGAATAGAAATGGGAAATGGTTATGCCTTGACCCTTCTCCATGAACGCAGGATTGGTTCCAACTCCAGACAGGTATTCTTTGCCCAGGCATGAAACCACCCCCAACAGTACTGTTGGAAACCCTTCCCAATGGTACATTCAAGTAACAGTTATCTAAGGAATGAGTACATGGGTAATCATTTCTGGTGAACTCATCAGTTCATACGTTTCAATTATAATCCATCAAATATTTCTGCAGCATTGTCTATATTCTAGGCACTGTTCTAGGCTCATGAGTTTAAGATTGGTAAACTGTCAAGGATGCAAACTGATGGCCTGCTTAGTTTCAAGATTATGGCTTTATCCTCTTGTCTAGGTTGGCCTTGCGAAATCCATTGTGTCGATTTCACCAAGAAGTGGAGACTTTTCGGCACCGGGCCATCTCAGACACTTGGCTGACGGTGAATCGCATGGAGCAGTGCCGGACTGAATACAGAGGGGCATTATTATGGATGAAGGATGTGTCACAGGAGCTTGATCCAGACCTCTACAAGCAAATGGAGAAGTTCAGGAAGGTAGGATATTTTATGAAGGTTACCAAGAGGGGTACCTGCAGAAAGGTAATGAGGTGTGATTTGAATCACTCTAGTGAGGAAGACATAACTCAAAAGCACCAAGGATGCAATTAATCATCACCAGTGTCTTTTTATGTGACAGAATACCAATTAATGTGATATATAATTCTCTAAGGGTAAGATAGAAGAGACAGCTGAAAATTGCTGGGATTTAGTAACTAGTTCTAATTGAAGTCGGATTTTCATATAATGTACACTTTTTGTAAGGTTGTCACTTCAAAATGCTTTCTCATGCATAACTAAAAATCAAGATTAGATCAAATGAAAGTGGGAAGTGAGGACAGGCTATTGGAGAAATCTTTTTTACTTGCTAATGAGTATGAAAATTAATAGAATAATAATGTTCCTTTGTTTTGTGAAGTGGTTGAGAAGCAGTGGGGTTTGGTTGTGGGATTAACTAATGTGGCATCTGCAATAGACCACTTCAGAAATTTGTCTGAGGAAAATAGATTGCTGAGGAGGTGGGTATGCTCTTAAATTTCCCTGAAATACTGGTGAGTAGCAGAAGAACAATATTCCCTTGTTTTTTTAATTCTCTTGCGTCAATTTAGCTGTTTGGAGATTTGGCCATACGAAGACAGATCCTACCACTAGGTGGCAGTCATATACTGAGTATTTATGAATATGCAATGACTTTTTGTTGTGTACAGTCTTGGTAGTTCTTTGTTTGGTTGATTTGGATGTATTTCAGGATGTGAAAGAAAAAAAAAATCAAGCAAATGTTAGGTTTGACATAATATTGTGTCAATTATCTTACTCATTTCAAATGATCCATTTGTAATTAGTGATGTTGCTTAAAATCCCAAGGTTTCTTTTTAGGTACATCATGTGGAGTTGTAAATGGAAAACGCTGCTAGAGCATAGGAGGTTGTGTATGTGTGTGTGTGTGTGTGTGTGTGTGTGTGTGTGTCTGTGTGATGGGGGAAAGGAGGGACCTTCTGTTGCTTAAGAATAGGGTCACCAATTCTTGGCTTAGTATTAGATTGATACAAATTCTTTTAAAAGCCAAATTTTATTTTCGTTTGCAATTTGGAATCCCTCTTTATGAAGGGAATCGGAGTTTATTTTCTGATTATAGATAACCTTAAGGTAGTAGCAGCATCTAAATTCTTGGCAAGACAGATTTCTGAATTCATGGAAAATCTGAACTGAAAAGGCATGAACTAGTAAAACTCACTCATTCTATAAATGAGAAAATCAAGGCCCAGCCTACATGAGAAATTTCCTGACTTTCTAATCAGGCCAGTAATTTGGTTTGTCTTTGACACTTTATTCGGGGGTTGGAGGAGGATGGAGTAAAGAAGTTCAAACAACAAACAAACAGACAAGACCGTACTTGGAGGCAATAGTGCCAGTCATTTTATATTTACTATTTCCTTTAAGCCTCACAATAATCAAGATACAAATTTAATTTTATAGATGAAGAAAGTGATACCTAGGTTAAGTAACAAGTCCAAGGTCAGACAAGGAAATGAAAGTCAGAATCTTAGAAAATAGGCATAATTTTTTTCCTTAAGAGGAAAAAAAAAGTTGAAGAACGTATCTAAAATTGACAGTCATTTTCATAGTAATACCTGTCTGTGATTTATTTATCCAACAAACATTTATTGAATGCCTTTTTTGTGCTGTGTAATAAAAATAAACATACACTTACTCTGGAAGGCAGAATTTCACGTGGAATTGTGTTTATTTGGTTTTGTTTTGGAGGGTGGTTACTAGCTGTGTTAGGATGAAATAAAAACCAAGCTCTTCGTCATTTGGGTTGAATATTGAAACACTACCCACTCTTTAGTGTCATCAATCTGTTGATTTTGGAAAATATGGTTTAAAAAATTTTTTTGCCATGCAGAAGTAGCTGAAGCAATGCCTTACTCTACAATCCCATGTGCCCTGGATTTAATTTAATAGCTGAACATGGTGTACTTTGAATTTAGGGAAAGAATTTTTTTTTTTAAAGAAGTCTGTATTCAAGTGGATATTTGATTAGGCAGGACTGCCCATGAGGACAGGGACCAGATTTGTCTTTTCACTGGCCAGCACCTGGCCCCCAAGTTAGCACTCGTATCAGATGGTCACATTCCAGCCATTGAGCTTGAAGTTCCAGACTCTGTTTCTCAGATCGATAGGGATTCCCACCACCCACACCTGGAATTGACAGATGGTTTTGTAGGTAAGAAGTAACATTATTATTTTGTGGCTTGCCGCTTTCTTTGGAATGGATTTAAATTGTGGAATGCGCTGTTTGCTTGGAGTTTATAACATGAAATTTAACTGTGAGCAAGCTTTAGTGTTTTGTCCCAGCGGGATTCCATTTTAAACAGTCTCCATTTATCTCTCAGAAACATGCTACTGAAACACTTTTCTATATCCTCTGGGAGAGGGGTCTGGCTGTGGGTGGCTTCTTAGGTGCCACTGTGGGAAGGAGAATTTCAGTCTCTTCAGAGCCAGCTGTCACCTTCATATTTCAACTGATGAATCCTGAACGAAAAGTGATATTTTTCAATAAATTCAGTTCTTTGCGTTCACACTTTCTGAGGAGACAGAATTCTAATTCATCCTCACAGATATGATCCCCTGAGTTGCAATCTTTAGTATGCATTCATTCATTTATTCTTTCATCCAGCAAATGATATGGAAGCCCCACTGCACGGTAGGCCAGATGCAGAAAGGTATAGTAGTGAATAAGTAGACGTGATCACTGCCCTCCTGTCACATGTTGTCACTTGGGGATCGAGCAAGTAAACTTGATGCAGTATGATGAACCATTGTCTGTGGTAGCACATGATATCATGGGAACACATAGGAGAGGCTTCCCAAAGAAGCATAACCACCTCTGTGTTCTCACTAGCTCACCCAGAAAATATAGAGAAGGGGTTGGAAGGACCCAAGCCTTGAGGCTGGGAGAGCTGCTTGGGAGGCTCTTGTACAGATCTAGGTGAGACATGGGGTGCCACAGAACCAAGATGCACGTAGACCAGGGAAATATATGTTCTGCCCTCTCCTACACTCCACAGAGGCAGCACTTTAATTACAGAGTCTTCTGTCTTCTTAGAAATGTGCAGAATAAGTATAAATAAATAAATAGCAAGATCAAGTGTACTTTCCCTTCCAACCAAAGCTTTTCTCATAGTATTTTCAAAGTGCTAAGAAACTTTTAAATAACACACCATGAGCATGACCAAAACGATGAATGAAAAACTTAAAATTAAACAAAGCAAATAATCTGTTTTCATTCTGGCAACCTTTGAAGCACATAGGCCTGATGACAGATCTCTCAGCAGCAACACTAATAAGCATTTATTAAGTGCCTATATTTGGGGATGGAAATACAAAGAGGTGGAAAAGCTTGATCCCAGCCCTCAAGAAGGACCCTGCTAGTCATCTGTTCCTTGTCAAAATTACCGTGATAAACAAGACACCTGGAGAGTGTGGCCATATGTAGTTATTCTCCTAAAGACCAAATAATAGGAAATGGTGGATGAATTTAAATGTGCAGGGCTGGATGACTGTGAGCAGTAGGAAGCCCCTTCTGACAGTGTGATTCACCCCAGGAGGGAAATGGACGGGAGACTACACCACAAAGTATTTTATGAGCAGTTACAACGTGTGATATATGTGCCCTTTGAAGGCAGAGTAAAAGGGTATGATTTAAAAATAGAAGTCAGCTTCTTGTAGCAGATTACATCAGCTTAAGTTGTGAGCTCACAGAAGAGCTTTTGCAGCCTGATGCCCTTGAGAGAGTCCTCCTGTGGTCAATTAAATGTCTTGTTTTTCTTGAAAGTCAGAAATGGGATGGAGGGTAATTATTCTAAATGGAATAAAAGCCGTGTTAGGTGTAAGAAAATAGTTCTGAATCCTCTAAAGAGATAATATGGAAATGTATACGTGGGCATTTGTTATGAGTCAGAGTCCTTATAGACAAGGACAAGGGAACCAGCGTTTTAATGAGGGCCATTTATTAAATGGCTTAATGAAATCCTACAGCATTTGTCTAGGGTTTCATCACCATAATTCAAAAGGGTATCTAAAACATATTGTAGGAAATATGAATGATACACACCGGCATTCTTGGGCTTGTGTCTTTTTAAAATCGTGTTAGATTTTGGAGAGCTGTTAATTTACTAACGTCCCATTATCAAAGGATATGTTACTGTGAGAAGGTTTCTTAACAAATGGCTTAATAGGTGGGACCTCGCTGGGGTCATCAGCCCATGGTGTTCCTGTGTCCTGACTGAAGGTTTGGATCTATAGAGCTTGGTCAAGGACTAGTAAACAGCAGTATTGACATTAGAGAGTTTTTTTTTTTTCCTGTGGACAAAGACTTGGGTTAATTAATTTGACAGTATCATTAATTACTGCTGAAATCATTGGTCTTTGTCAGAGGTCAGGCTCTTTTAGCAATTGAGGGCAGGTCCCACGGGAGCTGGAGACGCCAAGAGATGCAGGAGTATCACCACTCAGCCATCTCCTCATTCTGAGATAAAAAGCCTTTCCTTTTTGCCTGGGCCCTCCAGCTTTCTGGCTTACAAGAGTATTCTGCTTCATTTCAGTGCTAAGGGCAGGGCTGAGACCCCCCAATGAGTTGTGTTGAGTGAGCATGGAGAATTTCAGGTTTGGGTCCACACAATAGACCAACACCACCGTGCCTGCTTAAGCAGTGCCTTGACTCCAGGACTTGCTTTAATTCATACATAAAAGGGAAGGGTGTTTGGCCCATTATCAATTCTGTGTCTTCCAGTGCTACAATCCTATGCACTGACTTGAGCTCTTTGATGAGGTGAAAGTTCCTTTTGTAAAGCTAACACACTCTTTAACCTATCTGTTTCATAACTCTCCATTTTCTTTTGTTGGTTTTTGGTGTGTGTTTGTTGTTTGTTTTGGTTGTTTAACTAGGGCCCCTGTTTTTTGTGGCCCCCAAGAAGACCAAATCGAGTTGCTAA